GAGCAAAGAGGATGAGACTGGCACCACCCTAAGGAATTCATTGTGTTTAGTTGCAGACTTTGGGAGTTAGAGTTAGTCGGGCGAGATTCTGTCTAGCAGGTGCAAGCTAATAAGTAAGTGAGCAATTCCAGAACCATCTCATGGAGTTTCTTGGGCTGAACCTGACACATATTATGACTTCATCTGCAGAGTGAAGATTAAGCTAGGTAGCAGCACCTGTTGACCTTGAGCCTGGATACTACTTGGATAGGAGACCACAAGGGTGTTTCTCAGCTGTAGATTAGACTGGGGATTTGGGGGCGGGGGGGCGGGAATCCCAGAAGGCAGCAAATGACTTCTCTATGATGGCTATGGGATGGTCCCATGCTATCAGGAGCTGAGCTTGATTTGAAAGTGACTTTTTTTTTTTTGGTGGTACAAACCCTATCTTTGTAGAGAGCTCTTAAACCAGTGTTAGGAAGTATTTGCCCATTCTTGAAGTCAAGGAAGAACAGTACAGCAGTTCACTACAGTAATTCTCACCGTATAAGAGGAGGTCCTAGTTGTGGCGGGACAGTCTCTCAGTTACCTCTCTGAAAACCACCCGGAAAGATATGAATATTCTTCACTAGCAGTGGGGCTGGGGAGTCTGTGGTCTTCTAGATGTTGCTTACCTACAATGTTTCATGGCTGGGGCTTCAAGGAACTCTACTTGAACCACATATGGGCATTATCTATAAAGTCCTGCAGGGCATAGGACCTGGATACCTGAAGGACCAACTGTTTCTGCCTGCCCAATGCAGCATGGGATCAAGGAAGCATGCCTTCTTTGTCATGGCCCTCACCCTCTGGAACAGCATCCCCCCCAGAGATATGGACAGCACCCTTTCTCCTGGGGTTCCGAAAAGCACTTAAGACCTGGCTGTGTTTGTGGGGCCTCTGGTTTGATTTGTTACTGTTCTGATTGTTTTAGCCAGGTTGCCCGTGGTGATGTATGTTTTAACTGATTTAATTGTTTGGTATTTGTAAGCCACCCAGAGTCTATGGGAGCTGGTGGCTATAATAAATTTAAATAAATAATAAATAATACGGGAGGCCACAGAACCCCCATCCCTAACCATGTTTCTTTTTCATTACTGTGAGATGCATGTGAGTGTGTATACCAGTGTTTCTCAACCTTGGCAACTTTAAGATGTGTGGACTTCAACTCCCAGAAT